CACCTGCCCTATAACAAAATTCAAAAAAAAAAAAAAAAACCAGACAAAAAGATCCCAGCTAAATCCTTATCCCTATAATAAAAAGTCAATAGGTATAGAATCAAATTGGTGCATCAGAAGATGGCAGTATATACACATTATTTTAGAAATATGGAGATATCTAAATGCCAGAGAAAAAAGTCAAAAGTTGAAAGTAGGGGGAACCAGCAGTTAGCGTAATGGCTATGTCGCTGGATTCCCACATAGTCGACCGCAGTTCGCGTCCCGGACCCGGTGGCTTAAAACTCACGCCGGGCACGTGTGCGTACGTGCCCAAGATCCCAAGAGGAGAATGGAGGAGAAGGGATTGCGGCATGACCATCCCCCCTGGGGGGTGATTTCTCGCTTTCTGTCTCTATGTCTCTCTCTGTCTGTCTGGCGAGCGCACGCGCCCTATAGCAAAAACCTCTCAAAAAAAAAAAAAAAGTTGAAAGTAGTCATCTCTAAGTAGAATGGGGTGGTGCACTTTGCTGTCTTTTAGGATTCTTTAACATTTAAATACATCCATATGTTATTTTGATAAAGTAAGGTATTTTGGCAGGTAGAAAAGAGTTAATACTGTACATGGAATTTCCAAACCCTTTGCTTTTGCCATCACGGAAAGTATGTCCCGAGTGGAGTGGATGGCGCTGAAAACATGACAGTCTTCCATCTTCTTACAAAGAGGGGGCAGATAGCACTTCAAAGATGTGCTTTGCAGAAGGCTGTTGATATAGTGATCAAGTTCATCTTGGTTTTCTGTAATTAAAAAAGCAAGAATATGAGCCAACTGAAAACAGGTTGCGGAAATATCCTAAGCATACAATAGTGCGTGTTGTGTGCAGAATTGAGAAGATTTAGTGGGAGATAACATCTACATACAGATATTTGCATCTCCAGGCACCCCTGCAGAGTAAGTGAGATTTACAGAGATAAATATATGTATGTATAAATTTACGGTTAGGAAAAACATCACACCCAGAGAAGAAAATACAGGTCGAGGTAGTGTTTACATCGCATCACCCCAAGATGATCTGAATAATACATTAAGACCACATGAAGTACAACAGCCACATTCAGGCTTTCTGTTTTATTTATTTTTTAAAGAACTGTTTTATTGGGGCTGGCAGATGGTGTAGTGGTTAAGGTGCTAGACTCCCACATGGCTGATAGCGGTTTGAGTCCCGGACCTGGTGGCTTGCTTTCTCACTTTTGCACGCTCTCTCTCTGTCTCTGTCCCTCTCTGGTCAAATTATACAATAAGTAAATAAATAAATAAAGTTTAAAAATAATTATTT